GGTGTGGTTTTGAGGGTAAACACCATGCATTGGGTGTGGTATTAGGTTTAAACAAGCTATTTATCGGGCGTGGCATTAGAGTAGAAAAAGCCATGCATTCGGTGTGGCATTGGTGTTCAACAAACCATGTATGTGGTAACCAGTTTAGTATAGTAGACAGTGTTTACAGTCTTTAAATAACCACAATGGACAGGGTGGATGTCAAAGCCAAAAATATGTGCTTACAACACAAAATTCCCTATGAGAAATGTCATGTTAATATACAACATTCTAGAAAATTACCTGCTGACTGCTTTGATACTGGATGTGCAAGTACCTTGAATTGGGTTCTATTGTATGACAATATTAGTAATTCTCTATTTTTGGTGAACATTTTTGGTAAAAAAGGATATTTTATTTATTTTGTTGGTGGGCGTGTTCCTGGCAACCACTGACATATGCATAGGAATGTGGGTTCAATAGCAGATTGGCACAAGCCGATAATTGCTGCTTACCTACATTTTATACTTAGTTTTTAAATAAACCATTTATTATTTCATGAATAAATGAATTTATTAGCAACATTATGTAAACACTTGTTAGCAGTACATCAATTTGACTTTTATAAAATCAACATTGCTAGTTTCTTTGGAATTTACACGCATGATGGAACTGTGATGAATAAAACTACCAAGTCAATGTACTTAATTTTCAATCACTTGATATAATAAATTTGTTGTTACATTAAATAAACAACTCAAGTTCATAATGGTGAGTACTCTTTATCCATCAGAGCATGTCATATAGAAAAGTGAAGAGGGATCATGATAATGTTTATTTGTAACCTACAGTTTTTGTACACTTAGAGGTGGTGTTGTGTCTCTACACGAGTAACCATAACGACCTCTGGGCGCAGGTGGGGTGTCTTGTTTGACCCTGGCATGGTTCACAAAATAATCAACACGTTTATATAGAATGCGACACAATTCACTAGCATTTTTTCGCAGTGATAGAAAGCTTTCTCTTGGATCTAAATATCCTCGTGGCCTGCGATCTGCATCTATGCAGGTTTCATACACTTGTTTCTCCGCTTCTTGCAAGTTCTGGAGATCTTCCTGAAAATTGTCACCATATTCTTTCACTTTTCTCCAAAATGATTTGTTAAAATGGTTATATAGCATGACGTCTGCTGCATTCCAGGCCCTGATTTTTGCCTTCATCTCATCAGTGAGGTTAAATCGTCGAGATTCTTTACGCAATCCTTTGGGGAGATACATCATACTATCGGTATCCCAACAAAGTATCTTTTTCATCAACACAAGAGATTCATCAAAGTATTCAGTCATCATAAAAAGATCAAATTCTCTATCAAGCTGTTCAATCTTCTCCAACACACGAGTTGTATTGTCATGGAAACGATGATCAAGTCCAAGTGAATACATCATTCCATTCTTTAGTTGAAAATACATGGATGGGCGTCTGTTAAAATAGTAATCAGGTTTTTCGAAAAATGCCTCAATCGGATTGGAATATTTATCCAACTTTAATTCTTCATCAATTCTGTAATATCCAAAAACTGATTCAAACCTTGCAATTGGGTTCCGGAGGATAGTTAAATATGTAGCTTGTGGTACAACTACATCCATTTCAGTTCTAGAAAACCTGGCATGATTGGCAAGTATATTGAACACACTAGCTGCACTCCCGGGGTCAAATTCAAATTTTGGATTACTGACCATTCTACGATTGAAAAGTTGGTAGAAACAAAATTTTCCACCGATGTAAGGAAGAGCAAATGTGAGATTATTGAAATATGCATATCTTTGAATTATTGTATTGCTTGTAGTGCTGGCCGTTTTATGAGTCTTCAAAAATACTATTTGCTGGACTGGTTTACATGTGTCATCATGAGAAAATAAAGGCGTTGTTTCATTCCTGCAACAAGAATAGATTAAAATTAGACAATGACATTTCTTCTGATCAACAGCAATTGTATCCAGGTGTGTTGGCTTAATGAAGACAATGTTTACTGAGGCAACTTATTCATTAACAGCAGGTTTCAATAAATTGGCCAAATTGGGAGGAGGGAATTTGTACTGTAAAATAATAAGAAGATTAAAAAACAAAAAATCTACTAGCATACTTTCTAAATGGTTCAGTGTAATTATGAATTGGCTGCAGACTTGAAACGTTCCCTTTTTTTATGGTGAGCATAGACACATCAGGAGCCAATATTTTTGGTGACAGGTGTTTCCAAGCTATGACTTACAAATTAACCAAATTGCCTCTATGAAATGTTCAAACATCATGATATAATTGATAGATAGGATATTGTCATTGACTCATGACTTTAATTGATCAGGATATTGTCATTGACTCATGACATTATTTGATAGGAAATTGCCATTGACTCATGACTTTAATTGATCAGGAATATTGTCATTGACTCATGACATTAATTGATACAGACATTTTCATTGGTTCATCACATTAATTAATGCAGTGCACAGGCTAAAATACAATACAAGTCATTTATCTATACAAACAGCAGCATGCATGTACAAATTAATATGCGCAGATCGATTCATTCATGACAGTACACAAGGAGTACAAATGTACACAGTTTCAGTGCAATTAAGCAATTGTTATATTTATATAAAACATAAAAAAATGTTTTGTTTATTCAGTAGATAAATTAATTATTTAACATCACAGATTAACTAGGGCTAGACATTCAACTAAACAAGTCATTGTCAATGACACGTCCCCGTTCCGTTCATATTTGAGTGACATATACATTCAAAGCAGATCATGACCGAAATGCACCTGCATATGTACAACACATTGTACTAAATCTGAACAAAATCCATCCATGCATGACTGAGATCTGGTTCCGGAATTGTGAAAATACGTGATTTTAATGCATTTTCGGTCTTAAAATGGCCATCATTCAGCTATTGTTAAGTGGATCATGAAACAAATGCACATATCTATTTGTGACATGATGCACCATGTGTGTGTGAAGTTTGAACTTGATCAATCCAGACATGTCTTGGATATGGATCCAGAACTGAATTCTTTAACAAAATGGCCGCCAGTCGGCCATTTCGAACTTGATCCGAAAAAAAAATGACGTGCATCAAGGTCCTATTATGTTTAATGTAAGTACCGAATTTGAACAAAATCCGTCCATGCATAACTGAGATCCGGGTTCGGAATGGTGAAAATGTGCGATTTCAATGCATTTTCGGCCTTAAAGCGGCCGCCATTTGGCTATCGTTAATGGGATCATGAAACAAATGCACATACATATTT